TAGGGCTTAGGGTTTGGATTTAGGGAAGTTTGGTGGTTGATCCCATCTAAAGAGGCGCAGGAGGAGTAGAAGGAGCAGTAGGAGGAGGAGTCGTAGTAGATGATGAGGGTACCATAGCCCGCCCAAATTGTAGAGTAAGCTTACATTAGTATTTCACAATTCTCTTGAGAAGAAGACGATGACAGTACGATGACCTTCCTGAATTCAAGCACTGGAACTACACTACTCATCAGAGGCGATTAGAGCGGATAGTCTGCGGGCACGCAGTTACCGACTGTTTTTCGGAGCAGATGTCTAATTACTCTCCATTCTTTTAACGTCGTTCTTGGTGTGGACCTTCCTTTAACATTTGTTTGTCACCCTTGCCAAAGAAAGCATGCCCAACATGTTCCAGCGTGCTCACGGCACAGCAGCAGGCCCTAGACGAGTTCGCAGCGCTGGTGGAAGAGAAGAAGGTGAAGGCGGGAGATTTCAACAGTCATGCTGCTTGGTCTTCCAGACCTTCGGCCCCTGCGGTGAGCCGACTCGTGTAAGCTCGAAGCCCGTGTCCAGGTGAAAGTGTACAAAATGGAGGAGGCCATGCCTGCACCTCACGCTTTGGCCAAAAGCGTAGTAGGACAGCACAATGCATTTCTTGTTATGGCTCCAAGCTCTTGCTACATAAGGATGCCTACAACAGATGCTGCAACCGGACTGCGACGGAAAGTGTGATTTTGCTCTTGTCTGGAGCAGGCCTGGCCATGTGTCGACTGCAAACGCATGGCGTCGAAGGCTGAGGGCAAGTGCCTGAGTGCTCGTCAAACAGCCCTGAACTGTGTTTGTTTGGCTGTTGCAGTTTGCCTTTGCGTAGTATGAAGTGGTGGTTGTCTTTGTGCACTTCTGCGCAAGCAGGATGATCAATGCATCCGTTTTTGAGGAGCGATATGAAGTTGTTAACTGACTCTTAAGCAAGCCTGGTTTCTTGATCTGGGCAGATTTTCACAGACTTACGTATTCTGCCTGCTCATTTTGTGGCTTGCTTGCAGGCCGAGGGCAAGTTCTGGGACAAGAAGCACCTGGATGTGGATTCAGCAATCTTTGTATATCTTTGCATTTTGTTTGCACATCGCGATGTAACAGCTTATTTCTTTACTGGTGCAACTGAAAGCCCTGCAAGGTGGTACTGTGTTTCGTGCTATAACAAATACTAGCATTGAAGTTCGGCTGCCACAAGAACGACTCCAAAGTTTGTGCTCCCCTCCTGGACATGCAGACGCAAAAGCCGCACGATTCGTGAGCTCAAGATTGCTATGCGGTTGACTACTGCAAGCGCAATTTCAACATATTCGTCGAACTGCAAAAATGGCGAAAGATTTGAGCCACGAGAATAAATCAAAAGATGTTTGGAATATGAAAAGCTGATTATTGCCACCACAAACGCAGATTAGTGCTCTTTACTGATGGGCATGAGGCAAAGAGAGGAACCGTGCTATGGGCTATGAATCAATTATTCCTTTTTCAAGACG